TTACGTTATTATGAAGAAGGGAAAGAATTATCACACAGTAAGCCAATAAAGCAGATATGAAACATTCCGGCAGAACCAGTAAAAAGGTTGCTGCTTTGGGATACAGATAAGGAAAGCAAAGCAAGTATGTCTCCGTTTGTAAGTATATCCTTCCTCCCCTCTGGGCTGAGAAATCAACAGAAGGACACAATTGTTTTAGCCAGTGTTTTCCTGAATTTTAACAGCCCTTGACGTGAACTAAATGTGCTAAAATATTCCAGCTCTGTCATTACCTGGCTATGTGAATTAGGGTATGCCACTCATCCCCTGCTGGTCTCATTTGCCTTCTGTGTCCAAAAAAGGCGTTCATTTAGGAGGTGGTGGAGTCTTACTTATTTACTGCCCAGGACATAACATGTGTATGTATAGTAATTGACATATATCCACACTAATCTTTAGGAAAGCCTTCCTAGTGGGACTAATAGGGTAAACAAGTCAGATCATGCAGGTCCTACTAAGCCAGTTAAAGACATCACCCTAGGGATCCTGGAGGCTCACCAAAGTGTTTTGAACAGGGAGTGATTTCATTGGATTTATATTTAAGGAAGATTCTTTTGGTTGCGTTTGGAGAAGCCAAAGGACAGTTGAGAAGATGCTGTGGTAGATTTAGGCAAGATGAGACCTTGAACTAGGGCAGTTCCATTAGGGAAAAGAAAAATAAATATATTCAAGTTATACATATATTAGAAACCTATTCAAGATATATGCAAGAATATAAACGAACTAGAGGCCCAGTGCACGAATTCATGCACCAGTGGGGTCCCTTGGCTTGGCCTGGGGGATTGGACCAAAACTGGCTCTCCAATATCCTTCAAGGGGTCCTGGATTGCGAGAGGGCACAAGCCAGGCTGAGGGACTCCACCAGGCTGGGAGGGATCCGGGAGGTTGGCCAGCTAGGGAGGGAATGTGGGAGAGCTCCAAAGCATGTCTGGCCCATCTGGCTCAGTCCTGATTGGCCAGACCTCAGCAGCAAGCTAACCTACTGGTAGTAGCATCTGCTCCCTGGTGGTCAGTGCACATCATAGCAATTGGTCAACCGGTCAACTGTCTGCCCCTGGTGGTCAGTGCACGTCATAGTGAGCAGTTGAACAGTTTAGCATATCATTAGCATATTATGCTTTGACAGGTTGAAAAGCCAACTGGACAACTGGACACTTAGCATATTAGGCTTTTATTATATAGGGCATAAATTAGTTTATAAGTAATGAGACTATTATCCCAATTTTACAAATGAAGCCAGTGCTCAAAAGAAATACACCAAACTCATCATTTTTCCCACTCTTGGAGTGAGAGGAAGATTTATATTGGGCAGGAGAATTACTTGGTGCCCCAGACAGGGTACTAGTTTAGTCTGCGCAATTACTGAGGGAGGGAGGACCATACTGGTAAGAGGAGACAGTCTTATAGGCCCCTGAGGATGCTATCTTCTTCCATCGTTTCAGCAACAAGTTCTTTTCCAATTGCTTGATTAGAAGGTTGATTTGTCACTGTACTTCAACTTATTTCCATTATATTTTAACAACCCTTACAGATTAGTAAACTTCTCTGGGCCTCCCTGCAACGTCCTCCATCAGTGGTTCCCAACCGTCCATCAGAACTACGTGCAGAGCTTTCTAAATGTACACACACCACCAGCCCGCCCTTGGGGGTTCTGACCTAGAAAGCCAGGCATGAAGCCTGAAATTATTATTTTTTTAAGCCTCACAGGTGACCAATGCCCTCCCTGGGCTGAGAACCATTGTGCTGCCTTATTAATAACTGTTCTAATCCTTCAGCTCTAACGCTGTTTCTAGTACTACTATGGCTATTTCCTAAAAATGTGCTTTGTTTTGTTTTTGCTTTTTTACAGAAGACATAGATGAAAACCTCCTGTTTTGAATTAAGATCTGAAAGAGCTCAAACTTCCCAGCAGCCTCCCCTATGCTGACCACTTCTGAAATCCATGCAGCTGTGATACATGTAGATTTATATTTAGCAGAATGTTTGCATGTCTGAGAAGACAATGGGACTAATTGCTTGATAACTCTATATGCACCAGCCATTTAACATTGATGTTGGAAATAAAACTTTAACATTAAGTGAAGTTGATATATGCAAAATATTGTATGCTGTTTGTAAGTAGGAGTTTAGCTCTCCACACTGTATCAATTTATGAGATTCATCCTTTTGTCTGTAATACCATGTGCATGTCGAGAAAATGCAACAATGCCCTTTTGTTGTGAATGTGTATTATTTTCCATGTTTTAATACCCTAATAAAAGTCCATAGAAATCCAAGTACTTGTTCAAGTTTTTTCCAGTCATTTATTTAAACAACTATATGTGAAAGATCAACCAGGGCTCAAGCAACATATCAAATTATAATTGCGCTTCCTAGATCCTATTAATTAAAAAAATAAAAAATAAAAGTGTGAACGTGGTTAGGAGAGATGTTTCCTATCGGAAACAAATGTTCAGTTGTTGAATGGTAGTTGCTCATGAATGTTCTTTGTCACAATATAAGTTTAAACAGGAGGAACTATTGAATTTAAGTGTTCTTTATCAATTCAATTAAAAATATAGACAATTGTGCACTGCTTGATGCAACTAATTTTAGCTTTTATGCAGGTGTCTGTGTGTGTTGGGAGAGGGGGGTGGCCCTGTACACATTTCATGTCCTCAAAATAGTGCAAAGGTAACACCAACAGTGGAGATCCCTGAATTGCCTTGATGCTCAATAGAGTCAGAGGTAAATATCACTACTGTAAATTGAGAGCAAGAAAATTTGTCATAAGAGAAAGTGTGTTCTCATTTGAGCTCTTTTCTGACAACTATTAAAACAGTAAAATCTAGATGGCAAAAATATAAAAGAAACCATAATAGAGTTTTCTAGGATCTGAAAGACCTTGACACCCTTACTCTACTTTAAATATTTGAAAGAAAATAAAATGGTTTTTTACATATTTTCTTACATGAAAGAAAAGACATCAATGCAATTATTTCTGATTATTTCTTTCAACAATCAGAAGTTTGTTGTTAAGAGCTTTATCTCTGATAGTCACATGTGCTCCTAGAAACTTCATCTGAAGGATACTTATGGCAGAGTTTGTTTTTATCAGAATAATCTTCTCTGATTAACTTAGAATTTTTATTTATCTCTCTTCTTAGCTCAGTGAGTCACTTGTTCTTAACCAGAGCATATCACACCATGTCAAGTCTAAATAATTAAGTGCAATTTGATTAGTCAAAATCTAATTATTATTTATTAGATTTTTCCAACGAGGGAAATCATTTTAGAAATTATCCCAAATTTAGAATGTTTTTATATGTAGCTCTAAAGAAATGTCATGAGAGATCTTAACTAGTTACAAAACAAGTTTCTATTTGTGAGTTTGCTGGGAACAGTGAAATTTTATTCAGTGGTATTAATTAGACCTAACTCATTATTTTAAATGTTTTGCCTGTTTTGGAATAGTGAAAAGTGATTTTGATGTGCCTAAATATTTACTAAAAATTACTGAAATGAAAAATATTATCTAAAATTATAACATTTTAGAAGCTTAACATTTTCTATCTGTTCAGGCTCCCATGAGTATCACTGCCCTAAATGACATATTGTAGAAGCACTTTAATATTCTTGGTGGTCACAGTTTTTAATTGTGGGTTGTGTTAAAGACGTTACCCTAATCCCAACCAAGGGGATGAAGTTATTTTCTCAGTAATCAGTCTTTAATCCTATCTCTGTGCAATTGAGAGACTTTATGAGTTGGAGTTTCTAGTCTGGAAACAATTATTCACTTCAGCTTTGAATTTTATGACTCATATTGCCCATACCCATGAAGGCATTAGTAATACAGCTTAAATACTAGATGGGCACAGAGATACTAGGAGATCACATTGCTCCTTGAATTCTTGCTCTGAGGGCCAGTTGAAGCAAAGGTAATTTTTTAGAAAGACATACAGTGTCATTTGGGTTGATTCTATTGCATTAGGTAAAAGAATGTAAGATATTATGGTGTTGGTGAATTAATGATTTCTAATAGTTTTAGTTGACAAAGGAAAAAAGAAATTCAAGGATTTGAATTTAAGGAAGAGAAATACAAAAGAGAGATGTGGAAAATGAGGGGAAAGGGGATAAGTTGCTTAAATTCAGGCAAAATAAAATTGCACAAAGTTAAATCGGATTTCAGTTTCAAATACATATGAAATAGTTGAAGAGTGACTTAAATATAAAAAGGTATATCTTGCTTCAGATGCTGGGGACAAGTCTTAATAAGAATGTGATGAAATTTTTTTTTCTTCCAAAATTCAATTCTAGCATTCAGTGATTTGGCTGGAAACTCATAAAGGTAAGTTTATTTAAATTAAGTGTGATTGATAAAAAGATTTGCTTTCTGAATCAACTAGCCAGTAGACAACATTGATTTGCTTTATGGAACCAACTCATATTGTACTTATTGTCTGCCAGCCTGTTATGCCTTACAAGATTCTTTCCAGATCCTTTCCTTCTTGAGAAATTATAATTGTCAGTAACAGCATCCAGACCATGGTGAGTCTCACAGCGTTCATAGAAGCTCAAGGAGGATTTATTTGTACATTACATAAGGAATCTAATTTGAGTCAGTAATGGTACATCCCCAATACTAAGCATGATACAACACTGGTGTTTGAAGATCTGTGGGTAGAGATAGCAAATTCAAATAACTTCAGGGACCGAACAGTATAGACTATGAGGAAGAGTAGGAATGCAATGCTATGAACCAGAGAGTGTGTGTCTCATCTAAAGGCATCCAATGCATTTAAAGCACGGTCTAGACTTACAAAGCCTGAATCTAGAGGCAGAAGTTAGCCTGACCACGATTTCAACATTTCTAACTAATTTGTTACAATGGGAATAGGAGGTAGGCAAAATAATAATAATAATAATAATAATTAATTAATTAATTAATTAATTAAAATTTAAAAAAATAATAATAAATTTAAAAAAAAAAAAACTGAAAATGATCTCCTAACGGTTAGGACCTAACCCTTCCATTCCAGACTCCTCCCTCAGAATGAAATTTCTCATCCTGGCTGGCCTTTTGAGCACTGCCACTGCTCTGCCCATCCCTGTGAGTACTCCCCGCCAGTTGTCCACTCCACTTCCATTCTAGAGACAGTATTTCTGGGTTAGACAGCATTTCCTATATGTTCTCATTTCAAAAAAGAGAAACGTGGAGTCCTGCAATATTGTAGACCCAGATACGTCTCGTTTTTCCCTGAGCGTAAGTGTCTTCCCAATACAAATCCCCGCTGCATGGTGCCATTTGCTAAGTGCATGACCTTGAGCAAGGAAGAAACCCGTGGCTTCCCTGTCTGTAAAGTGATCTATAAGAGCTACCTCAGAACCTGGAGAGAATGATAAAAATGAAGGAGCACTGAAGAGTCCTAATTGGAGCACAGGAAAGTCTCAAATAAACTTAACAAGAGAGAATAAATACTACAATAGTATTCTGCAGTGACCTAGGTCTTGTCTTTTCTTTTTTGTAATCTCACTCAAAGATATATTTGCATTGATTTTTAGAGAGAGTGGAAGAGAGAGGGAAAGACTGAGAGAGAAATATCCATGTGAGAGACATACATCGATTGGTTGCACAAGTCCTGACCAGGGCCTGGGCCTGGGAGGAGCCTGCAACCAAGGCACATGCCCTTGACCAGAATCAAACCCGGGACCCTTTGGTCCACAGGCTAATGCTCTATCCACTGAGCCAACTGGCTAGGGCATGACGTAGGTCTTAATTACTCAGTATAAATTGAGTTTCATTTATAACTAGAGGCCCAGCACATAAAATTCATGCACTGGTAGCATCCCTCGCAGCTACTGACTACCCTCCCTTCCTCTGGTCAAACTCCTGGACAACCTCCCATCCAGGGGACAATTCTGATCACTGGGCAGAATTCATTCAACTTTTCCTTATTAGATACTCAGCCGTGTTTTATTTCAGAGGTGAAGCTACATTACTGATGAGCACAATGCTCAGTAGCAGCTTGTTACCTACCCTCAATTTGTTTTTATTATGAAGGATACCCTTACCACAAACTGTTTCAGGTTGACTATAGCCATGCTTTCTATATCAATACAAGTGAGATCTATGAGTCTAACCTGTGTCTATTATAGTCTGAATATGTAGGACACTAAGTAGGTAAGAAACCCTCTTCCCTGCACATTTTTTTTAAAATATATTTTATTGATTTTTTACAGAGAGGAAGGGAGAGAGATAGAGAACCAGAAACATCAATAAAAGAGAAACATTGACCAGCTGCCTCTTGCACATCCCCTACCGGAGATGTGCCCGCAACCAATGTACATGCCCTTGACCGGAATCGAACCCGGGACCTTTCAGTCCGCAGATCGACCCTCTACCACTGAGCCAAACCGGTTTCGGCTGCACGTTTTTTTTTTGTTTTTTTTTAACAGAGGAGTTTTCTAAGAAGTGAAGGACTTTCAAAAATTGTTTTTGGGGATACCAAATTTAAACTTGTACTTCCATATACCCTTCACTTTGAACTTCCAAATGCTGAGAACATTGTTGATTCAAAGAAAAAGAGGCATGTAGTATTAATTAATCTGAGGAAACTTACTTCCATTCTGATCATGGGCAGAATTCATTCAACTTTTCCTTATTGGATACTCAGCCATGTTTTATTTCAGAGGTGAAGCTACATTACTGATGAGCACAATGCTCAGTAGCAGCTTGTTACCTACCCTCAATTAGAATAAAATCTCTTTGTAATGAGTGAAGTTTTGCCACATATGTTGATTCACCTCATTGCTGTTATTGTTTTTACAAGTTCGAACAATCTGGAGGCAGTTCCAGTGATCAGGTAAACTTCTGGTTTTATTTTCAAAAGACATATTCATCATTTTAAAAGTTTGCCACTGTCTATAATCACTGACGTCCTGTTTCTTCTTACAGAGATTTAGCTTTTACCCACCCCAAGGACTACCATTTTTTCCTCAGTTCCCATTTTTCCCACCTCCACAACTGCCCCCGGTAAGTATGGATTTGGGGAATCTCACATCGTGAAGAATACTTATTAGTTGGATGATGATGATAAAATTTTCCAAATTTTAATAGAGAAATGTGAAGCTTTCAAGGTTGCCAGGCATCAGCTACTCACTCTCACATAGCTTGTGGTGGAGTGTGACCAGGGACCAGCAAATGTCCCCCCAAATCCTCAGTGGCTCCTCCTCTTGCCATCAAAAAAGTATTTATACCGAGTTACTTAAACTATGATGCGGCTAGTTATCCTCCATGAAGAGAATACTAACCTCTTTCTATAAAACCTGTTCTGTTTTCTTTTTCTTATTCACCTTGTTGCTTTCTTTTTGCTACAGTTTTTGGTTTTGTTTTTCCAGCTCTCCCTAAGTTTTTCTCACAGGTCAAAGAATATAATTGGTTTGCTCTTCTTATTTGACCCTCTCTCATCTTTCGAATATCTGAATTCTTATAACACTTTTTAATAAAGGTCAGAACAAGGCTAAATACATAATAGAATTGCCTTTTTTCTGTATGTAATACTTTTATTGACACAAACAGCATTCATTCGGTTAATATTTACTGAGTGTCTATTATCTAATGGGGTCTATAGTTGAGGGCTGGAAATACACAAAAGTGTAAGTTCACAGTCTGATGAGGAAGGGAAATTCATAAATGAAAAACCACTGTGATTTGACAAGTGCATGCAAATGCGAAGCTGACTTAGACTGTGGATCAAAGACTTCATTCACAGGGAGATGGCATCAGAGCCAGGATGAGAAGTGGGTGAGGCAGAGGGAACCTCAAGGGCTTGGGACAGACCTAAGATTGCAATTTGGGGGAGAATGACGAGTACAATGGGGCTGCAACACAGGTTGGAAATGTTAAATGTGGACAGTCTTTAAGCAATGATGATTTGGAAAGTTCATGCACAAATTTTAAAATAGCATCTTGCTTAACATCTTGTTTTTCGCCTAAAAATATGTTTAAAACATATTTTTGTATAAATATGATTTTGTATAATTTTGTTTTTATATCTAATTATAACAAACACCTTCCCTTTCCTGGTATTTAATTTCAAATGGTTTACTTCTCAACTTCAAGTAGGCTTTTGGAAACTTGTCACCAAAGTTATCGTCCTCACTGGAACATTCTTTTAAAACATTCTCACATGTCTTAACTGAATCTTAGCCAACAAATTTCTAAGTACTTACATTTTAATTAATTGTTAATTGCTTTTATTTTAGTCAAATCTAGGTGCATCGTTCTACTTTCTGGGCTGACATTCAAATTTGTTTAAAATTAATACAAAATTTTAAAGTCTTGGTTTAGAATATAGGAATCTCTATATAAAATTATAGAGATGTCTATATAATCTCTATTATTAAATTATGTGAAAATCTGTATGGAAAAAAAAAAACGCTAGTATTTGAAATGGAAACTCTTCCTTCCACCAGGTGGCAGAATAGCATTAACTATAAGGCAGTCTCCCATTGCCACATTTTCTCCTAGTATTAGATTTCAGTGTCTGTGCTTATGGGGTAGATTAAAATTGCCATGATCTGAAGAAGGAAGATTAATTGTGTCCTCTTCCTATATGAAATGGCTGAACAGGAAAAAAAATATCAGGCAAAGAATAAACTGTAGAGAAATTGATAGATTTGCAAGAATTATCAACATGTAGAACAGATTTCCGGGCTTTAGCTTTGACTAATTAAGCAAAATAAGCATACCTCTTGAAAGAAAAAAATTATGAAGATTTAGAATCTAACCTCCACAAATTAGAAGGTGGGCTGTCTGAGAGCACATAATTGCTCCATGATTACTGGATGGATAGATGACTGGATGGATGAGTAAATGAATGCTTAAGTGAGAAAAACACCAAAACAAAATGTTCACATTTTATTTTACTCACAACTCACTTTTTTCTTTTTTCTTTTTTTTGTAGATTCCAATTCCTCTTCCTTTTCCTTTTCCTTTTCCGTATAATCCAAATCAGGTAATTATACTTAAAGTTCCCTTTTAAAAAGTATTTAAATGAATACAGAACTTGAAAATTATTTCAATGTAATCAGAGGAGAATAGGATACCAGAATTAATGGTTATTATTCTGTTACAGGAATCATTAGTTATTAATACTTTGTCTGACTTCAGTCCTTTAAAGTATAAATCTCGCATACTCTTGAAAACTGAACAAAAGACTTGAAATTTTCTCGATTATGTAGAGGGAAGTAGGAGACCAGTAGAAAAAGCACTTGAGGTCAACCTGGGAAAGCAAGCTCTGCCACTCAGTACCTTGGAGTAATCTCAAACTCCTTTTGTTGCCAGTGAGGAAGGTCTTCCTCTCCAGCGGTTGCTAGTGGGAGTGGGCTTCTTGGGATATCCCCAGAAAAGGAATTTTCTGAGACTCGTACGGGAGGATGAGGTTGGTAGAAAGCTGTATTTCCGTGGAATCAAACCCCAGAGTTTCCAAGGTCTCATTTCCTTTCATCCCCTGCAAAGAAGAAGTAGCTGTGGCTACAGCACAGCAGAATGAAGAGCCAGAGTCCACAGTTCCGCTCCCTGCTGGAGCACAGGGCCATCCAGCGTCAGGCCAGCTGCGTGTGTTCCCCTCTGCAGTCCATCAGTCCATGGCATGTAGGGTCCTCGGGGCCACATGGCTATGAAGAAAACACAGGCAGGAGCAAAGCCAAAGGAACCAGAGAACCAAGAGAAAGCTAAGCACCACGAGCCAAGAGCACTAGTCCCTTTGTCTAGGGCCATGGTTGGCAAACTGCGGCTCGCAAGCCGCGTGCAGCTCTTTGGGCCCTTGAGTGTGGCTCTTCCACAAAATACCACGGCCTGGACGAGTATATTTTGAAGAAGTGGCGTTAGAAGAAGTTTAAGTTTAAAAAAGTTGGCTCTCAAAAAAAATTTCAATCGTTGTCCTGTTGATATTTGGCTCTGTTGACTAATGAGTTTGCCAATCACTGGTCTAGGGCAAGCATGTCAAACTCAAAAGCTTAACGCGGGCCAAATTGACATGCTTGGTCTACTCTAGGGGATATGTATTCCCAAATTTTGGCAGACTTGCAGTGGTCCTGCCCACTCTGGCCAATCCATGGTTCCCCAAACTAGATTGACAGGCAAGTACTTTCCCTATGTTACCCCAACCCATTGCACATGTGCCCATCTTCTCCTTTGTCCAGTCCCTTCCCCCAGGAAGCTGCAGGGAAGGGGTGGTGGTTCCTGGGGAGTGTGAAGTGGCAGCTTCCTGGTGAAGCTGCCCAAATGACCACGCCTATAACATCTGGCCTCCATTTCGCCTCTTTCCTGTTATTAATAATTAACTAGCTAACCATATCACTTTGAGCCTTACTTTCTTGAAATAGTGAAAATTATTTATAAAGTCCATTTTACCTCAAATTTTATGCTTACATTTGCCATTAGTGGAAGGAAAATACATCCTTATTAAAATGGAATCTGTTCTAGAAGCCTTTGAACTAAATTTAAGGTTATGGTCATGGTAGAAAGGATTACTTAAATTTTACTTTTGAAGGGATTGTATTGAATGAGAAATAATTACAAATGATGACTGACTCAGTCACAAACCAAAAATTAGTTGTGTACATAACAGCAATCTTTCCTAAAATTATAGGAAATGACAAAGTTTTCTTTCATAAAGAAGTAATCCCAAAATATAGCCTTTTTCCAACCCAGTAAGCTTAAATTTAATGATCTTCCCTAAAAGTCCCTACTACATCTGGAGCTCACAAAAGAAAATGGGGCAGTTGGCTATTAAGTATTTAATACTTAAAATATTAGTGAATATGAATTTCAGTGACATAGTTTTAGTAATGCTAAGAAATCTAAAAAACATGTTTTCATTTAATCAAGCTAATATAAAATGTATAACATAAAAAAGGTAAAATGCTGAATTACACCTCAATTATTTGATTGTTTCCTTTATTTTAGATCCTGCCACCTAATGACATTATAACGGTAAATATATTCTAGTCTGTTCATCTATAAAGTTTATAACAATACTAGGTGCCCAGTGCACGAATTTGTGCACCTTGAAAGGAGCTGTGGGCCACAAGACTGTGGTGGGCACAGGGGCGGGTCTTGGCCTCTCCCACCTCAATCCCTGGTTCCCTCTCTGCCGGCAGCCCTGCTCCCGAAGCTGCTCCCACCCGCAGCACCAGCCCCTCTCGCACCCGCTGACAGTGCGGAGCAGTTGGGGCCAGCGTTGTCGGCAGTGCGGTGGCTACTGCCCCAATTGCCACTTAGGAGCAGGGGGAGGTGGAGAAGCCCTCAGGGACGCTCACAGGAGTGGTGGCTCTGGCGCTGGCGCTGGCAGTGGTTGCGAGTGGATCCAGTGCTGGCAGCAGGTGTGAGCACCCAGCAGGACCGCGGCACGTGAGCGCAAAGAATTTTCAATAACCATCAGAGGCTTGCCCCAATGACAGCAACCAGCCTTGGTCTGGCACCCCCACTTACCTGCTCCACCATCCCACGGTGGCCAATGCTTGCCATGTTCTGCGCTCAGCCACCTGCTACTGACGCCCACCATGTCCCTAGTGTTCAGCGCACATCATAACGACTGGTTGTTTATTGTTCTGCCATTTGGTCTATTTGCATATAGGGATACACACACACACACACACACACACACACACACATACACATAACTACATTCAATACCCTACATATGATGAGCCACTTCATGGTGAAAATTACTATCTTTATTATTCCAATTCATTTGGAAATTAAATAAAGCATGGCTATTAAATTCAAAACCAAAAAAATATTCTCAATGCCTGCAAATAGTTGTACATTTATTTACTCAATTAATCCAACTATAGACCAACAAAACAACCTCATCTCTTATTGATGAGGGTGAAAGTGAAGAGTCATTAAGACTAAATAATTACAGAATAAGTTGCTTTAGAAGAGGTGAAACAAACTTCTAACAAAGCATTAGCATAAATACACTAAAGATTATCAAGTCTAAGTCCAAACAGTTAATTTTTCCCTGAATTCAACTTTTTTAGGGAGGTCTTTTATTGATACAATAAGTTACTCAGAATCTTACTTTACAGAAACACAGGATAAAGATATGGAATTACAAAAAAGATATTAAAAATTATATGTCCTGGTCTAAAAAATACTTTTCCCACTTAAACATTTTCTGAAATCAAGACACATCCCACAGCAAATATTAGATTTCATCTAGAATCTCCTTTTTCTTCAAAATGCTCTCATTAACTAAATGGTGCATTTTACAATTATGGTACTTTAGAATCAGGGACATGCCGTATTTTGTAATAATGTCAGAAAGTTAGACCTAAATTATAAGATAAGATTTCCAGGATACTTCAATATAGACTATTTAAAATCTACCATCTTGAAGAATATTGAAGTGTCCCAGAAACTAAGGTCAAACAGGTTGCTCTTCGCCCACATCAATAAGAACCTAAGTCTGTTTAAGCAGCATTACTGTCTAACTCCAAAAGGAAAATTAAAAAAAAATTAAAATTCTGCATATTTCTAACTAAAAGTTTTTAAGAAACTATCTTCAATGACTATTATTGGTAATTACAAAAATTAGCAAGTTCATCTTTTCATCAAAACATGGCTAAAAGAGCACTGGCCTGTGATTTGAAAGTCTAAATTCTAATTTCATTGTTACAATTAAATTATCTACATGACCTTGGATAAATGTACTAATATGTATTTGGCTCCAAGGTCCTCTCCAGTGAAAATATTAACTCCTCAGACACATGACTCATTCAATTTACCTAGATCTGAACTCTTAATACCTATTTATACTTTGTTTTTCTGAATTTTTTTAAAGCACTGTTGGCCAAAACCCATCCTGGAAAGAATCCTGACAGAATAATTTAAAGAAACTGCCATATCTTCATAGCCATAATTTTTTTTTTTTTTTTTTTTTTTTTTTTTTTTTTTTTTTTCTGTCAGTGATCCTAGTTAAGTCAGGGAGCAGGAAAAAGCATTCTAAGAGAACAAACGATACTCAGGTCAAGAACAAGTCAAGACAGTGCTGAACCTGGCAGCTCTGCCTTGTTGGTCAAAGGTCAATGGTCTTTGAGCAAGCTGCCAGCCTCTTAAAACAGAAGGACCATGTGGAAGCTACAAAGCAATACTTTTCCAGTGAAACTGGTTATGTAAGCAAACCCTTGGTGCAAGGCACTCACGGTTGTCCTAAAATGTCGGTTCCAGTATCATTCACATGAGGAATTTGCGTAATATAAGTAAGCACTTGTATGGAAGTGTACACAGTGAGTTTATTAACCATTCTCATCAATTTTCTATCTTTTAGATATAGTAAATACAGTTACAAGGCAGTTACAGGAAAATAGTTTTGTGAATTAAGGGGATTTACTTTTTTTTATTGTTCAGGGTGTTTTCTTTGTTTATTAGCACCAACAGTATTAAATGAAACAAGCAAGTCACTAAATAGCCAAGATATTAAACTGTTTCTGGTATTACAAATGACTTTTTTTTTTTTTTACCAATTTCTCCGCTTTTTTATTATAGTTGACAGAATTAAGATAATTTGAATCTAGATATTGCATATTCATTTAAAAACCTTACATCATGCAAATAAAAAACTAAACAAAAGGAATTAATTTTTCATTAAAAACATTTTCATACAGAAAATATTTTAACTTATATATATACCAAGTTAAAAATAAATCCATGATAGCACTGATCATTGATTTTTCTTTTCTCACAGTTAATCAGTTCTATTTTGAACCAACTCCTGGTAAGTTCATATTAATTTTTAAGCTATTATAAACTAAAAATCTACTTAATACATTTAAGATAATATTTTTTACTTTTTTATTTTTAGGGATTACTTGGGGTAAGGCTTCATTTCTCTGATTATAGATAAAAGTAAGTGACATTTAACTTCAGAAAAGGTAAGCATATTCTTGAGAACCATAAAAACAGATGGCAGAATCAAACCCAACTAATCTACCCAAATTGGAGCACATGAATTATAAACTCAATTTCCTCCAAGATCTTTATTTATTTATATTTTTTAAATTAAATTATCTGTGTACATATTTTACCATTGCCCCTCCCCCCATACATACCCTCCCTCCCCAGAGTTTTGTGTCCATTGGTTGTACTTATATGTATGTATACAAGTCCTTCGGTTGATCTCATCTCCCCCAGATCTCCTTACCCTCCCCGCTGTAATTTGACAGTCTGCTTGTTGCTTTACTGTCTCTATATCTTTTGGTTCATCAGTTTATAATGTTCTTTATTATCCATAAATGAGTGAGGTCATGTGGTGTTTCTCTTTCATTGATTGGCTTATTTCACTCAGCATGATGTTCTCCAGTTCCATCCAGGTTGCTGCAAATGATGAGAATTCCTTCTTTTTTATGGCAGCATAGTATTCCATTGTGTAGATATACCATAGTTTTTTGATCCAATCATCTCCAAGATCTTTAGATATTAATTTCTGCAGGTCTATAAAGGTATTCTTTTCATAATGCCCATGGTATTTAACAAAATTTCCTTTTATAGGAATATATGCAATATTAGGTTAAGAAATTTTAATCAGTAAAAAAGAAAAAAATCAATTTCAATCAGTAAATTTTACCTCAAGCATATGTTTGTCTTGTGGACAATTACATCAGCAGTAAGCAAAGCCTGCTGTGAAATTACCAAACCTCGGAATGCCCGATGGCACAGCATCGGCTTGCTGGGTGGAAAGGCTGCACACCTTGAGGCTCCACTTTGAGTCTCACCCAAGTTTGTTTCATTTAAAATATATGCAAAAAATAGAGACAAAAGATGTATCCCTTTTGTAAATATCTGAATTAATGTTAATTAAAATTATATACAGTATTAAGCAACCTAGAGAGAATACTATGAATGAAAATATTCTCAATTTCAATCTTGAGAAAGGAACTGGATTTCACCCCAAGTTTTACTTCTAACAAGTGTCACTGCCCTAGAGTGCTTATTTAGTGTTTCCTACCACTTTTTTTGTTGTTGTGAAGTGTTGGTGTCCCTCTTTGGCGTCATAATGCTGGGTTCTTTGCCCAGCCTTACAAAGGGTTCAGCATTCTGGAGAAAGGGGCTTCGTGTAGGTGATTAAAGAGTCCGGAGATGAAAGATAATTTTGAAAGGCATTGGGGCCAGAGAATCTTCAGCTAGAAGGAGCTAAAGACTCTCCTTGTCTAGGACCCCGTGGTATTTATTAAACACAGTTTGTCCTAAGACAAGGTGGAGATATACATTTCAAAGGGTAGGGTAACAGAAGCATTGTCAGTATGGAATACCTTCAGCTGTTCAGGAGTTTGGCCAACAGGAGGCAATAAAATACCCTGAGCTGTCTGGCAGTTAACAATCCTATTCAGGTTTGGGGGAAGTGCCAACTAGCAGTTTTCATTAGGTAAATTACATATGTGGCTCACCCTTGTTGAGTCACCCAAGCTTCATTAACCTTTTGGTAAAACTCTTGTAATTATTACATTCTGGAATTGGTTCCCGGCATTAAGCCTTAGCTGAGGATATTTTTTAATTGATTTTTTTAAAGAGAGTGGAAGGCAGGGGGAGAGACAGAGAAATATCAATGTGAGACACATAGATTGGTTGCCTCCTTCATTGGCCTAATCAGGACTGGAGATCAATGCAACCAAGGTCTGTGCCCTTGAGCAGGCTGACGTTCTATCACAAGCCAAACTGGCTAAGGTTCCTTCCACTTTTAACATTCTATTCCCTGAGCCAAACTGGCTATGGCTCCTACCACTTTTAATATTCTTATCATACCATCAGGAGCCAAGTGGGAGGAATTAAGTCTGTGTTGCAGAAAAGACAATTGAGGACTCAATGTATCAGCATTTAGATATAATAGAGTCACATTATTCTCTACCTCCTAATATACAAGATTATACCAATACTAATCCATCAGCAATAAAATAAACCTAATATGAAAGAGGTGGGTAGAGATGAAGAAGAAATTATGGCAAAAACTATATAATCTGTATCATTTATTTTTTCAGTAATAATTCTCTCACTACTATGCCACAAGTTATATAAGGTTAGTGAAATCTTTCTAGCATTATTATACATTTTCAGTATTTTTATCTTAAGAGTTTAATAGCTTCAGATTGTGTATGTATTGGTAAATTAATAATATAAGTAGATGTAAAAAAATCAAATACAAATGATTTCTTCATAGTATATATTTTTAAATCAGTTTGTTAAGTTTCACATAAACCAATCACTTAAGTCCTTATACTTAAGACAATGTAGCATTTAGCCTCTAAACATGGTTAGAATTTTTAAGTGCCCTCTTTAGCTACCAAATATTTAGATTTTTAGATAGTTATGCTCTTATACATTTAGCATATGCTTCCATTTGAGTTTAAATGCTTTCTAATCTCAAGAATACCTGCTGGCAAGACAAACACTAATTATCCTTAGGTTAATCCTTAGATATTATTAAATAAATTGGTTTTGGGCCAAATTATGCAAACCATTTCAACAATGCTAGTCAAATCAGATATGGCCTTTAATTTTAAGTTACAAACCATCACTGTATTACATCTGGGTAACATTACTGCTAGGTATCAGATAATCTTCCTAAATGCATATTTAAAGTAACAGATCACAAAAGCTTCCTTACCTTAGTTGGGAATATGGTAGACGGAGAATAAGTTTTGAACCAGGCAGACCAAGATTCAAATCCTAGTTCTATCCCTTAGTTAATAAACCTGGGGCACCCTTTCTAAATCCCATTTTCATCTGTGAAATGAAAATAATACTACCTACCTTCACAGGACTGTTGTGAGGATTAAGTGATATAGTGTAGATTTGATCAATATCATCTATTATTATTATTTATTTAAATGTCTCTAAAAAACAAAAATATTCCTTATATCTAAAACTTTAGAAAGCAAAATACACAATCAATATTGTTTAGTGATATAGAAGTAGATATTCCTTCAGAAATGTCTTAAACTAAAATTTTAATCTGGTCTTTATATAGATGGTGCTGGATACTCAGTTATCCGAAGATTATCTACTTAGAACCTATCTATAATTTACAGTAGCAGTTTTATCTTTTCTCAAACTTTGTAAATGTTCCAGTGAAAACTCCAAAGTGCCACAAAGAATTTCTCTGTAGACCATGTGCTTTAGTAATTCTTTAAATAAAGTTTTAATATAACCTCCTATCTTTACTAATGCCAGTTTAAATGTATCAAAACTGTTTAATAGCCCTGGCTGGTATGGCTCAGCTGGCTGGGTGTCATCCAGTTCACTAAAAAGTTGCCAGTTCGATCCCCAGTCAGGGTGGGTTGCAGGCTCTATCCCCAGTGCGGGGCATGCAGAAGCCTGACGATTGATGTTTTGCTTTCACATCAATATTTCACTCTACCTTCCTCTCTTCTCTAAAAAAAAAAATCAATAAAAAAAAGTCTTTAAAAACAACACACTATTAAACATAAGTAAATGCCATTCTTAAGGAAATTGCTCAAATTTTCTCAAGAGCTTTTGTAAGCCATTTCAATTTTAGAGAATTCTATAGAAGTGCCAGAAAGAAGCACTTCCTTCCTGCCAAACAGTGAAAGTAGAATCAGACTCTTTCATGCTGAGAGCAGGTCATCTTATCCCTCATCGATGAGAACATCATCCTTTTTAGGCATAAGTCCCTTATTACATACCCAGTGACCAGGATTGTATGGATTTTAGAAAATTAATACCGTACACCTAAACCTTATAACTCTTCCAGGGGGGTTCAAGGCAAACATCTGGAAACCAAACATTCTAACGTTTCTCAGCAAAACTGACAGTCACACTCCAGGAGAAAAAGCTTCCTGACAGATCAGTCCAGTTTTACCACCAAAGGAGTTTTGACACTAAATTGGGGAGGGAGGAGGATCCCAAACCTTTTGACTTACTTGAGCCCTAGTTCTGTCCTCTAGCTACAGAGTAAGCCTAATACTGTTTTCAAATGCCTTAAGCAGCAGGGGTTGGGGGTGGAGGTGGGTGTTATATGTCCCAAGGACCACATAAGGCCTGCAAAATCATTTGGTCTGGCCCTACCAAGGCAAACGCAGGTGGGACTTGAAATTCAATACATCTAGGAGCTTTTCCCAAAGCAACATAAATTTATGTTAAATGAATTAGATTAAGCAAATGATGTTATAAATATCCAAATGGACTTTGGCAGAAAAAAAGGGTTCCCCGCCCCTGGTCTAAAGAAGACAACCACCATGTCCCTACCCCTAAACCTCCTTTCTGTCAAATGCCCATTTGTAGTCCAACTGGAATGAAGATGGAATTGAGACAGACCCTTCAGGTTGGCAGGAGTTGATATCATGGAACAAGGCAGTGTTTTCTTCCCTCCTCCCTGCTCCCAAGAGCATCCAAAACACCATCTCTTTTCCTTTTCTCTGGGAATTATATTAACATTGAGTCCCACAAAAACCTATTTCAATACTTAATATTCCTAACCTAACAAAAGCACTGACCCCCAAAGACTTCCCTCTGTCTATCTTACATCAGTTCCTTTTTAACATCTATTTTAATGCATTTATAACATGCAGTTACAGTACAATAAAATAAACATACATATTAAATCAAAGTACTAATGTCCTGGACATGTTTTTTTTTAATATATTTTTATTGATTTCAGAGAGGAAGGGTGAGAGAGACAGAAACATCAATGATGACAGAGAATCGTTGATAGGCTGCCTCCTGTATGCCCACAGTGGAGATTGAGCCTGAAATGGGGATCGAGCCTGCAATGCAGACATGTGCCCTGACCGGGAATCAAACCCTGACCTCCTGGTTCATAGGTCGATGCTCAACCACTGAGCCACACTGGCCAGGGTGGACATGTTTTTACTTCAGAATTTTTCAAAATGAGATCATGAGCTCCTATTTATTGATCTTTATTAACTAAAAGAGGGCTGAAATTTCCTCATAAAACTGAAGGCTCTAAAGATAAGGATAAAGCTTCCATTTTTTAAAATCAGCTTCAACAAGATCATGTAAAGCAAGATGTGAAGCCAAAAACTAACAGATAACTCAGACTGCTCAATGGTGGTGCTCCTTCGAAAGGAGCCTGAGGTGGCAGGAACACCCGTCAGGCCACAGCAGAGCAAGGGGGATGGAAAACAAACCAAAACCGACAAACAAGAACTAGATGGAAAGCAGAAGTCAGGGCTCATCAGAAATTCATCTTTATTCAGATTACAGTTCTTCAGAGCATCAAAACTGTTTAAATTTGGTTAAAAGCATGCTTAAATTGAATATATATAAAATATGATTGTTTATATTTCTTTTGACTGGAAAGCAGAAAATACCATGTTATATTTCACCATATTTACTTATTTTATTCTGATGTAAAACCTTCTAAATGAAAAAAAAATCATTTCAAAAGTGAATAAAATAATTTCTCAGTTACCAACCCTGCTTGCTTGTTTGAGTTCTGTGATATTGCCTCCTTTGCAGCACATGCTCCTCTGCTGGCCTTTGGCTTGCATGAGGCTGTGAGCTACAACCCATGGCAGTCAGTTTCAGAGTCCTCACTCCAGTGTGCATCTCGTTTCTCTGCCACTAGTTTGATGAATTGAGAGTGACTAGCATAAAGCTTGAGTTTATCACTGATGTCCACCCACTTCACTTTTCCAGCATCATCTCCAGCTTCGAGGGTGAGGTTATCCATAATCTCACCTGGTTACCAAAGAAAAAGCATCACCAAGAAAAAGCAATTCCTTTCTTTTTCAGCAAAACTGCATCTCCAAGTATTCTTACTAACAACAAGTAAGCAATCATCGTCTTAGTGAATTAAAAACTAGGATATTCCAAATTTTCCAAACACCCAAATTTTAACCAGGTTTCTAAATTTTAAGTGGAGGTACCAGTAAGAAAGCTTTCCTCTTTAGAAAGTAAGAGTATTATCCTAAAGTAAAATTCATACTAATGCATGATACCATGTATCAAAATAAATTCCAGAGCAATTAGGGATTTAAATGTAAAAAAAAATTACTGGTGATTTGTTTTATAGTCTTAGGATAAATGGACTTTTCTAAGTATGACACCAAATAAAAACCATAAAAGAAGTATTTATCAATTACATTAATAAATTAAAAATAAGTGCTCTCACCTAGAGGTTTCCCCCACTTTGTTTTCTCCCACACCCCTAATCTATTGTATAACCAACATGTTTCATGTAATCCACTTACAACTCTTTTGATAATCATGTATAAAACGGTACAAAACTGCCATTTTCCCAGGGCATTTTTTCAATCCACTGAGACTGCTTCCTGGCAATTGTTGACAGTTTGGCTCAGATAAACTAATGAAAATTCTCCACAGGTTTAAATAATGTTTATGTTGACACACACTTGTTATAAAATTATTTCAAATAATAAGACAGATGTAAATCCCATTTCTTTTATCCTAGCCATACTTCCTACCCAAATCTCCAGTTGCTTTTGTTTTTTTTATTTTATACAAATGGACTCACACTGTACAATTTAATAACTTTAAGGCAAATAATTTTAGTCCAAAAATTCAATCTTAATTTTATGTACTACAAATGGATTAAAGAAAATACTTTTAAGGCTTTCTTTTTCTGTTGTTGTTGCTAATCCTCATCTGAGGATATTTTTCTATTGACTTATTTTTTGTAGGGAAAGTAGAAGGGAGTGGCAGAGACAAAGAGAGAGAAACATCAATATGAGAGACACATTTATTGGCTGCCTCCCACACCAGGGCTGGTGATAGAGCCTGCAACCGAGGTATGTGCCCTTGACCAGATTCGAACCTGGGACCCTTCAGTCGGCAGGCTGATGCTCTATCCACTAAGCCAAACCAGCTGGGGCAAGGCTTTCTTCTATGTATTCTTTTAATATCAACAATTTTAAATATAATCCCATAGTTAGTAGTTGATTGGCTTAAGTTACTAAAATAGTCCAGATTTAATCGTGCCTTAGTATGCTGCTGGACTTAGACTGATCCTCTAACCCAGTCAGTTTAATAAACATAAGTAAAAATTACCTGTTTCATCATGGTAGTTCACAGCTTCTGTCTCCATCCATGCATTATCAGTATTCCGAGGGTCATCAACATATCCCTTATATATCTATTTTTAAAAGGCATACAAAAAAAAAATAGTGTAGGGTGAAACAGGAATGAGTAGAGTAGAAGCATGTTACTGTCATTAAAATCAGCAATGTAAATATCCTGTTCCAAAAAAAGTGCATATAATTAACATAACTGTTCACTTAAAGTGGTTAAAAAGGTAAATTGTGTGTTTTTTACCACAATAAAAAATAAATATAAATACCATAGCATCTTTAATATAGCATTTCTTATGCTTATTTTAAATTTCCTACAGAAAAATATTCTTAAGAACCTTTGAGGCAGCTTTAAAATTCACAAAACCCTCAACATCTCAGATTCTAGTTTCAAAATTTAGTAACAATAATATTTGAGCCGTATGGTTTTTTTTTTAAAGTCTTTATAATTTAAGTATCTGTTAAATGAGATATATAAGTAAAGTTAGTAAAGACTAATATTTAAACTATTAATACATGAAAAGATTTGGATCTAGCTATCTAACACAAATGTAGACTGGATAAGATAAATAATTAAGAAATACTAGTAATTCTAAAAAGAAAACAAAGCAATAAAAAAAAAAAGTCAACAAAAAGTAAAATTGGTCCTTTTCCCTATTATTAGTGTATCTATATCTTATAAGGTGATTTTTAAATTTTTACAAAGGATATGTAGACAGAACAGAAATGTGATTTAAATGGTTATAAACCAGAGAAACTCTGAACAACATAATTTCAAATGTAAATGTCCTTCCAAAAGAGCTGAATTCATGCAAAAAAATTAATGTTTTCTGTTGGATGGGTGAGCTCAGTATTACATTAGCTCATACCTAGTCTGAACAAAAACTAACAGAAAAAAAAAATATTACAATAAACTAGAGGCCCAGTGCACAAAATTAATGCACAGGTAGGATCCCTAGGCCTGGCCAGCAATCAGGGCCAATTGAGGCCTTCCTTCCAGCTGCTGGCTGGGACATTCCTTCGTTCCATGCCACCCCTTGGTGGTCAGCACACGTCAATAGAGAGCAATTGAACTCCCGGGCTCCTGGTCAAACTCCCTCAGGGACACTTTGCATATTAG